GGAAGGTGAAAGAGAAAATGATTCAATGCAAAGATGGACAAGAGAAAGAGAAGCTGAGCTCAACTTACACAGCACTGGACAAAGAAGTGAAGAAGAGTGCCAGGAAGGACAAAAGACAATTCTACGACAACCTGGCCACTGAAGCTGAGAAGGCAGCAGGCAAAAGGGACCTGAGGACACTATATCAGATAACCAAGTCTCTATCCGGGAAGAGATCAACACAAGTGAAACCTATAAAAGACAGCCAAGGGAACCCAATTACCAAAGAAGAAAGACAGATTAAACAATGGGCGGACCACTTCAAAGGACTCTTGAACCGACCACCACCTACAACCCGTCCAGTAATACCAACAACAGCACGTACACAACTGCAAGTTGACACCAATCCTCCAACGAAAACTGAAGTCATGAATGCAATCAAGCTTCTGAAAGCTGGAAAAGCAGCTGGACCAGATGGAATACCCCCGGAAGCACTGAAAGCGGACCCAGAAACGACGGCAGATATGCTGACTCCATTATTGCAAAAGATCTGGAAAGAGGGAAAGGTGCCTACTGACTGGAGGAAAGGTTACCTGGTGAAACTACCAAAGAAGGGCGACCTAGGACTCTGCAAGAACTGGCGAGGAATCATGCTCCTGTCGACGCCAAATAAAATTCTGAGTCGCATCATCCTGGAGAGAATAAAGGACGCACTGGATACAGAACTCCGACCAGAACAAGCTGGATTCAGGAAAGGCAAATCATGTTCTGACCAAATTGCAACTCTACGCATTATCATCAAACAAAGCATGGAATGGCAATCAAATCTCTACCTCAACTTCATAGACTTTGAGAAGGCCTTCGACAGCGTTGACCGCGAAGTATTCTGGAAACTACTCAAGTACTACGGCGTACCCCAAATATTCATCAACCTTATTCAACAGCTGTACGACAACGGCACATGTCAAGTGATCCACAACGGAAAACTCAGCGAAGCGTTTGGAGTAAACACAGGAGTCAGACAAGGGTGCTTATTATCACCAATGATATTCCTAATTGTGGTGGACTGGATCATGCGTCAGACAGTGGGAAACGAGGAGACAGGGATATCCTGGACCGACGCGAAGAACCTAGAAGACCTGGATTTCGCAGATGATTTATGTTTGATGTCACACAAAATCGAAGACTTACAAGCAAAAACCCACAAACTGGTCGAAGAAGCAGCAAAGACAGGACTGCAGGTGAACATAGACAAGACGGAGGTTATGAAAATAACCAAGCAACAACAACAACAGCAGCAGCAACATCCAACGCCAATCACCATCAACGGGAGGGATTTGAAAGAGGTTACTTCTTTCACTTATTTAGGGAGCATCGCCTCAACCACAGGAGGAACGGACGAGGATGTCAAATCGAGAATCGGGAAGGCGAGAAACACATTCATCAACCTGAAACCAATCTGGAAATCTTCGTCACTCAGCCTGCATCAACAACAAAATTCGGATTTTCAATACAAACGTCAAGTCAGTCAGTTTTGCTATACGGATCAGAAACTTGGCGGGTAACCAAGAATATTTTCAACAGATTGCAGACCTTTATCAACAACTGTCTTCGTTCCATACGGAAGATTAGATGGCCGGAAAGAATCACAAACAAGAAACTATGGGAACAAGCGAAACAGGAACCAATCGCCCAACAAATATGCAGGAGAAAGTGGAGATGGATTGGACACTCACTGAGGAGGCCGCTGGGTGACATCGCGCGTCAGGCTCTCGAGTGGAACCCGAAAGGGAAGCGGCGAGTGGGACGTCCAAGGGTGACATGGAGAAGATCGTGTGATGAGGAACTGAAACAGTATGGAATAACATGGATGCAAGTGAAAAGTACAGCACAAGACAGAAGCAAGTGGAGGCGTGCAGTTGAAGCCCTATGTTCCACTAGGAACCCAAGGGAACAATAATAATAATATATATGATATATATGTATGCAACAGATCACTTCTGTAAATCAATGACATACATGAATAACCTTACCAGTGTAATAATAATATTAATGAATAAAATTCACTTTAGCATGATACTGACAATGTAAATATGCTTTTATTGTCAAACAATACACAGATGAACAAGATAAACATGTGCACGTACAATAAGTTATAAGGAGGTATGCCTAGAACAAGGCGGAAAAAACGACACAACAAAGACAATAAACAAAAAAGGTGAATTTCCTCTTATTTTCACAGTCAATCATGAACACAGTAGCCATGACGATGGAGAGGACGAAAACAGTGGTAACAACAACAGCAACAATAAAGTTTTATTCACTAGGATCGTTCAAAGTATTTTAAGACAAGAAATGAACTAGTTTGCGTTAATATACTATTAACGTCTTTTACACGATGTTTAGAGAAAGAGAAATACGTTGAGAGAGATAAAACGTTTAAGAATTTTTACTATCACCTGATTTCAAGCACATTTTTGTAAAGATCTACATGTGGAAATGTAAATAAGCCATTCTATACGTTATTCATATGTGTAATTTCTTGTCAACATATGAGATTATTAGTCAATTTCACTTCGGTATATAGGTTCCTTGAACGGATCCCTCAATATTTCCAGAATTAAGAAGTCGTAGTTACTTGTTACCTCTTAGACAAGAGGAATTCTCATGCTCTAGTTGCTAAGTGGATAAAGATTTGACGTTTTAGGTGATAATCACTGGGTTCGAGTTTTACTGGAGACACCATCACATACCGGGAGAGAGAAATCCAGATGACGAGTCCCAGAAAGGGCAAAACATGATTCTTGGATCTCAAGTCTAGCCACCATCCTAGAAGTAACTTCGTATTCTGTGCATGTTGGTGGTTTCGGATATCAATTTGATGAATTCAAGGGACAATTTGTATTTCTACTGGAGAGAGAATCTGAGGGAGGAAACATGTACCACTTTCTTTAATTTTTATTTATTCACCTATTTTACACCATATATAATAAATTCAATCAAGCGAATATCAAAACTTCAGACTACTGGGCCATCACTCAATCAGATAAACTACGACTCAGTTGGCAGCTGGGTCTCTCAGCTGGTAATCTTGCGTTAGCAAATCAGATATCGCTGGTGCAAACTGTGTCACGATCTAGAATTTCATTTCAACTGCATTTATTACGTGAATATTAGTCTAACTTTAAGAAAAAGCAAATAACTTCAAAAAAACTATCAACTCGAAAGCATAAATTAACAACGCATGATAAAAAAGGAAGGATCAAAGTGAGACCATATACACACACACACACACGTGTCTATTAGTCCATATTGAAACAACTTAGAACACCTTGTAGAGGAGTGTCATGAGAATAAAGAAAATTATTGAATAAAACTTCCGTCATACAAAGCTAATATATCTAAATCGCGGTGACTGATATTATAGAAAGTTAGTGAACGACTTTAACCAGCAATTATTAAAATCTCCAAAAATTTCAAGTAACCAATGTCTCTCAGTGTTCTAGTGTATTACTACCAAATAGGCTTACTGTTCAATGTAATCGTACTTCGGTTGATAACCATAGTTGAGAACGATGGTGGATGGGAATCAAAATGATCAATGCTTTGGAGGCGTTTCTGTTTAACATCGAACTTATGTGTGAAGAAATACTTTCAAGGTATGGAATGCCTATTATCTAATGCTGCCATATAATATAATATAATAATAAGGAAAGTTGAGATGTATTTTAAAAACCCTTAAACTAAAGCCTCTCTAGCTTCAGAAAAACTTGCAAAAACTTTATAACACAACATATATTTCAACAGTTATGTTGCACAATCCATAAGTCTCTCCACACAAAGTAGATTGGATACGAAATAACAAAGCGATACGTGAGGCAAGCTGAGAAGATTCCAGAGGGAAAACCGGAAACAATCCACATTCGATAGAAGATGAAAGGTTACAGAAGAGAGAAATGATGACTAGTGAGATATTTTAAGATTTCGATAATGACAAGGAGTCAGTGTGTCTGGGACACGTCACCAATAGTCTCCAAATATTGAATGTTAGCATTTCGAGGACATCATACAAGTAATCTGCGCCTCTTTGCGTCAATAATTTCATGATACCATCGATTGATCTTCTTGCTTACTTAACACTCTCTATCCAACTTCATTTATAATAGCAGTACTGCTCCAGCTAACACGAAGAAGAACCTGTAATAAAAAACGGCCACTTAGTGGAGCTGTAAAATATGATGAAGGGAGTCGGTACACAATGCACAGGTCCACTGATGGATAGCCAGATATCACGACAGATGACAAAGATGATGCATGTTAGCAGATGCCAAACTAGGCTTTAGTATGTGTGCTGAGATCTGATCTGCGATTAGTTCATTAGACCTAATGCAACTCCCTAAATTTGTGACGTCGGTAACACATCCACATCATGTCCTCAAAACAGAAATCAGTGGCGACCAAACCCCGCAGCATTACCCTGAATTTGACGGGAGCGAATCGCATCTCTACCATACTCAAATTTTTTCTGAATGTTCGAAATTCTACATTTGGCCAGCGTCCTCACCGAAAACGGTTACATCAATCACATTCATTAGATCAACTAGACTCTTTCCCGGTAACCCGTTGATCCTTGAAAGACTAGAGTAAACAAGGGTGACTTTTATCAATACATCCATAACGACATTAAAAGTAAGAACAGTCACGGTGTACGTCCCATACTAACATTAGTGGCTATTATCACTCAAGAAAACAACCCTCCATAAGCTCTCACACGACTGCAAGGATTCGAGTAGATTTCAAGTTTTTATAACCTATAGAAACTTGAATTGACACCTTTACATGTCGGTTTCTACAATATATATATATAGCGTCTAACCAAAACATCCAAGTCGGTATACACTGACAAAATCGACAGACCTTCTCCGCCCAGCCTACTTCTAACAAACTCAAGTTACCAAAATGAATCAGAGACCAAACAACAAGATTAATATGTATATACGAGTGAAATGTCGACAACTTACCGGTAACACCTTAAAAGGTTCAATTTGAGCCATCCAATCAACTAAATAAAATAAACATGTCTCTAATAATGAGCATAAAGAAGACAATAAATCATCTAAATACGGGTTATTTAGAATTATATTATTGTCATTGAATTGAGCGGAACCAGGTATAGGAAAATAATTAACTCTTTCATTTTTTAACATTGACGCATTGGTTTCAGTTGAGCTAATGACAGGATGAGTTAATTTTCCCTGAGAATCAATAATATTGGTATTATGCAGTTGTGATTCCTGTACAGAAGGCGATGTTGTTGATGAGGAGGAGGATAACAATAAAAGGGAATTTGAATAATTTCCTATATAAGATGATCCACCACACATCATCCCAGAATCAGCATTGATACATTCATTGATGACTTCATTATTGCTGCTGTTATTATTATTGTCAGAAATAGAAGATGGATCAATGGATTCAAGATTTCTTGATTTTAAAAATGAGCATAATTCAGCTAGACTACATTTTAATTTCTAGAAGAAAAAGAGTAAAGGACAAAATAAAAATAAAAAGTAAACAGCGATTCACAGTTGAAAAGCTACCAAAACACTATACATGCAAATTAAATATATACACGTCGATCAGTTAGTGAATTTTATTATGCTTGTGACACCAAGTCACAAAAAGTTATTTCCCACTTCAGTTAACGACATCATGAGAGGTATCGAAAACATAGTATACAAGTAACGTAACTTTTAATGCTTGATCATACAGAAATTTCAAAACTTGACCGTAATTATCACAAGTGAATTGATAACAATTAATAATCTCCTGATGCGGGATTGTAGTTCTGTTATGTCACTAGTCAGTCATATATACGGTTTTAATTTCCATTATGAATAATCCTAATGGTACATATTTCTTGCTGGACTATACTTTCCCTCGACCGATAACCTTAATTGGTGGAGACGTGGCTCATTGACTGTAGTACTTGAGTTTCAACCCATGAGGAGTTCAAAATTCGAATCACGCTCCACCTACTACAACCTGGACAGTTGGATAGTACCTTCACCTCTCATACCATAAGTGTGGCTCATCGCCTAATACATGAAAAAACCTGTCGAAGAGCGATTGAGTTCTAGCTGACTATGAATTGAATTGTACACAAGGCTACAGTATTTCACTATTAACATCGCTATCAACATCTAGAATACAATAGACATAATACGTGGATTATTTGTATAACTCACCGGAATAAATTGTTGAACTAATTCAATAACTTTATAATCATGTTCCACTGATGTTGTAAATATCTGTCCAAGTCGAAAAATATTTTTGTGTGTAGTACAATCATTATATAACGCTTCATTATTATCGCTGCTATTATTATTATTACTATTAGTAGTAGTAACAGTAGTTGGATTGTTTGGAGTAGCAGTTCTGTTGTTGTTATTATTAGAGTTGGCATGAATATGCGAAGAATTGTTACCAATAAGATTTGATTCTGTTTCATATTCTGACTTATGGTATGACGATGTGGAACAAGTGAAGCTAGACTGACCAGTTCCTTCAGACATGTCTAGGATATCTCCACCTCCAGGCCCACCACCACCACCACAACTGAATTCATCTTCTTCACCCTCTTGTTCATCGTAATCTCCGTCTGGATCATCAGTATCATTATACGAATCATCATCGTAGTATTCGTCTAAATCTTCATCGTCATAATCATCATCGACACTGTCAACACCGTCGTCTAAATCACTATCATCACCTGTTAGGTAATCATCTTCTCCGATTCCATCATTAGTATTATTATTATTGTTATTACAATCATATTTCTTACTAGGCAGTAATTCATTGTTCATTAAAGTGAAGTTTCTGTTCATAGTGGGGTTAGTGTTGTTATTGATGCTAATATTATCAAGTTGAAAACTGCTACTTCCACCATGCCTAACAGCACTAAAATAATCATTAGATACTTCTGATTCACTTGACCCTCCACCACCGTCTGATTCGCCGCGATCTTTCTTTATTAACTGTGTATCAATGAAATCTGATGGATTCGATTGTTGCATAAAGTTTAAAGAACCATTTGTTACAGAAGTGGAACTTATCATTCCTATATGTGTTTTTGAAGTGTTCATAGTAGGATCATTAGAATAATGGGAAGGCAGACGATAGGAGGTAAGAGGTGGAGGCAGAAGAATAGGCATTTTTATGTGTCGTTGTTTTTGTTGCTGTTGTAGGGTTTGATAATGTATATCATTCATTGAAGAAGTTGATGCATATGAATGATTACTAACAATGGTATTTTCACTGGGAAGGCATGCAGTATTTTTATCTAAATTGAAAGACAAACAAGTATTACTTGTAGAAGCATTAGTTGTATTGAGCATATTTCCAGAGAGATTTAAATTAGGCTCAGGTGAACAACATGCAACAGAACTACAAAATCCAGACTGTGATCGACTATAGTTTAAGAGGGATCTGGAATTCTGTTGCTGCTGCAGATGATGATGAAGAGGAGGAGGAAGAATAGGATTATCAGAGTTAAGATATTGTCGCGAAGCATTACTAGTACTAGCAAGGGAGGTAATATCGATAGCAGCAGTACCACCAGTGACGCCTTGTGATCCAATACTTGATGTATGCAGAAACGAAGACGATGATGGTGTAATACAAGAAGAGTTCGAATAAACACCCGTTGATTGAGCAATATCTTTCAGTGCAGGATGGTAATTTGTACCCATAACCTGAAGATAACTAGAACATTCATTCATCGTTGTCGAAGAAGAAGAATTACCTAATACTGACGATGATGATGGTGCAGAAGCCGCTGCCGTAGCCAACAATGGATGATAAGACTGTTCAGATGAGTTAACCACTCCGAAGTTTGATGGATACCATTCTCCTGATACCTCTGCTACTGATGTCAAAGGAGATGTATTGGCACGTGAATGAGCGCCATGTATATTACTGTTATTATTAAATTGATAATTTTGTAGGATTTGATTATGTGATTGAACTGTAGAAAGATTTGACGATGTATACTGATAATTCGGGATACAATCATTCATGATTATCCCCTCACTGTTCACATCATCGAAACATAAACGTGAACGTTTTGAATCAGAATTGGATAGGTCAATAAAATTTGCATTAGATGATGAACACATTCCAGTCGGGAAAGATGACAAAGATGAAGATGATATGCTCATTGATTTGAAAGTTGTACTGACAATCTATAATAATTACATAATAAGAAAAGTATTTCAATGTTATTTGCATACGTAAATATATACATATGCTTAACAGCAATTATAATAATGATAAGAATAATATTAGTTATAGTCCAGGCATATTCTTCGTCATCAAACTGAGAATATGAATACTACAAGGGATAAGCATGATTCACGAGAATTATTATATGAACTAGACAGACAATACTATATCCGAATGGCTAACAGGTATACTAGACCAGGTATATAATGTTCGAACTGCAGCAAAGTATAGTAGTGATCATTTTTATAATATTTATGATGACGATCATTAAGTGTGCAGATCATACATACATACACTCACCCAAGGCATAAAAACAAACACCAATAATCACTGATCATTGTGAGCACAATAACCAATAATAAAATTATTAATAAAGAGAAATAACAGATATTATGAGAGACTGAAGGTATGTATGTGTGTATATGTGTAAGGCAGAGGTAGAAAAATGAACTCAAATAGCATTGATGCACACATAGATGGTGCACTTGTTGTTATATACACTACCTTGGTCAGCTTTTAAAAGGACTTCAAGTTGTCTCATCCTATAGCTACACAACTTTTATACTGTTTCAGTACCATTGTTAAGTTTATCAAAAGGAAAAAACAATAATAAACCCATTATGAAATACTCAGTTAGACTCTTAGACAATTAATTACTTCAACTTTAAGGACAATAGTATATATATATATATATATATATATATGCAACGGTGCACTGCATATATAATGTTCATTCTGAATTGTGAGAAATAAACTATGATATCTAGGATGACTAGAGGAACGTTTGTAATCCATTAATAAACACACTAAGCATCGATCCAACACAAGTAACAATTACACAATCGGCAACAGATAATTATTTATTTTCACCCTTTCATATACATAGGCATTCAATGAGACAAACTGTCAGTGTGAATATACAGTGATTGGTCAATAATTTCACAGAACCTGACTTCAGTAATACCAGGAAAATGGGAATCATGAAAAGAAAGTATCACAGAAATGCATAAGTTCAAGAAGATACAATCAATAAGGGAGTACAGGATAAAAAGTAGAAAACCATATTACGAGTAAATTTCTAAAGAAAAGTCTTTCCTTCCACTTAGGTGTTTCAGTCACCCAACTTATATTCCTCATGTAAACCCTATTCAGGCAGTAAACCTGGGGTTCTAGTGGGAAGCCGTGATCAGTAGGGTACAGCAGGTCGGGTGTGAGGACAAATACTCGCGGAAGACATTGGCTAGGGGTCGCGCTATGTCGTGAATTGGCAGAAGTTAGAATTCATGGACTGGCCATTGGAGCAGGTCCCAGTGGCTTAATGGTCTACGAGCTCGCTAGCCTTGTAACCAAGAAGGTCCTGGGTTCGAACCCCGGTGGGTGAGTACTGATGAAGAGTCCCAAACTAGGACGAAACAGCTGTCCAGTACTTCTAGGTTTTCCAGTGGTTCTCTAACTGATGTCAGTGCATGATGAAATCCTCCATAAGATTACACCTGAAGTCCCTTCTCCCCGCATAGACTATCACGAAATTGGATACAAAGAATAACTTTATTTAATTTTCATCACTTTGCATTCTCTTGGTCGACTTTCAGTTCCTTAACTTGTATTACAGCCCAAACAAGGAAAATACATCCGACGATTGATTCTTCATCCAAACTAAACCTACTATAATTAATATTGGCTAACGAGAGGAGCAGTAGGCGGAACTCTTAATGCGCAATGTCATCTGCTGGTTTGCCTTCGATATAAAGCACTGGGAGTATGGTTTCGATAATACTCTGTGGTTGAGTGATGAATATATCAAGACAACTATGATCAGAGATGCGTGGTCTTTTCATATATTCTTCTTTCAAAGATCAGTGGTATTCAAGACTATTTAACTATGAATCGTTCAACCTTGAATTGTTTGTAGTATGCTGTAAATCTGGATAGGACCACTTTACATATTATACTCATGAGGGGGGAAATGCTGAGGTTTTCTGTTAAGATTTTTTCAAGCATTTATATGCGCGTAACAGGATTATGCCGCCTGGGAGATATGAATCATCAGCATCTTTCTCAGCCAGTAAGTCATTATCTAAGAAGCTGATTACTTTCAGCTTACCTGCACAGTTAATTTCCACCAATACATATGCCGCCTTCCGTTACTAACTCAAGTTATTAAAATAAAATTCTGTAGTGTTTCAATGATGAAAAGTAAAGACTGCTAAATCTAAAATTGCATAGTACTCCCACTCCTAAAACCGGTAGAAGGTGAACTACAGAAGTACACCTTCACATGTATATCTATATTAGGAAATATCACAATGTATTAAATGAATTTCACTGGACTATCATAAATGAATCAAGTAATACTATATCCACACAAACTCATAAGTGAAACAGACTGTGAATGAGAACTTTAACCGTTTTATCAATTAGGAGTATACAGCGTTATTGTTACAATAAGTTTGTTTTATCTCTCTCTAACTTTGTTAAGCAAATGAAGTAAGTCTAAACCAGAGATTAAAGATCATTCACAGTATGCTTAAAAGGATATTGAACACAAAATATCTAAAAAAGAACAAAGAATAAGCATTATTATTACTACTAATGTTCTAACTTATATAAAATTCATTTAGTGTGTATGTCATATCAGTAAGTTTATGATGTATTTGAATGCATATATGCACGGATCAGTGTATAAACACAAATGGATAGTTCAGCTTGTACACAAAGTCAACGAAGCACAATGTAAAAATGTAATGTATACAATCTAAGAGTGAATGAATGAATTCAGGAGAACTTAAATGATCCAATCCGATCGGATCGGATAGAATACAAAATAGCAAAACGAGAGAAAAAAATGATACACAATCACGGGAGAGAGAGAGGAGAGGTGGAAAGAGACACTGAAATGAATTAAATAGATACATGTATTTAGTGTCCTCATCAGGTCACACATATTACACACAAGCCCACTTATACATACACCACAAATGCGTATCCATCGGTACATATTACACCGTATCCATCAAGCTGTTAACACAAAATTACTGCACACAATATACTAAAAGGCATTTATAACTTGGCCAACATGTATTCACAACACAATGTTATATAAATAGTCATGATAATGTCAATACATAATTACCTAATTAAACTAGTATATATATATATATATATATATATATATATATATATATATATATATAGACATGTTAGGGAAATAATCTGACCTGCTATCAATCCACCTAGGTATTAAATGCACGGTGTGTTTTACTGAAATCAAAGGCGTGGGGTTGTTCTACAATAATACAGTAAGTAAGAGATACACTTTTTCGAATAATTGAACTGATCAATACGATTCGAGAATCCCAGGAGGAAACACCTAGTCAAAAGCATAAGATCAGTGATCTCAAACTACAAAGCTCATTGAAGAACAGATCACATCCAAAAACAAATTTACTAAAGCTCTTTTGTGGTTGTCATTGAATAAATATCCTTGAATTACCTCCTCTTTCTGCAACTCGCATTTAGCTTAAATACGAATTTGTTTTAAGCAGTTTGTAAATGCCTTATTATTATTATTCCGTTGGGTCCCTAGTGAAACATACAGATTCAACAACATATTACCATTTGAACATGTTCTTTGCAACCCCTTTTAGCTGGCTCCACGACTGCTTATAATCGCTCATCTCCTCCTCACATGATCACCTCCATTTCACCCTCGAACACTCCAACTCATCGTCTCTCATTCGGATTCAACTGAAGGGCTTGAAGCTCGATGTCACTCCATGACCCCCTCAGTGTGCATCCCATCCAGTTCCATTCACTTCGGCAAACCTGTTGAACAATGGGTTTTTGGCTAGTTCATTGCCAAAATTCGTTGTTACTAATGTTTTCTGGCCATCTGACTTTCACTATGCTGTTGAAAATCCGAATCTTTTTCCGTATGCTCCTCAGTGAAGTAGATTTCCACACTGATTTCAGATTAATGAAGGTGTCCTGATTTTCCGATTCTACCTTCGACATCCATATCCGTGACAGTTGTAGTTGAAACGATGTTGTCTAGATAAGTGAAAGAGGTTAACTTCACCAATTTCCTCTTGTTGACAGTGACTGGTGCTTGTTGCTGGTTAAGTAAACACCTTATCTTAGGCAGTTTCCTTTTTTTGTAGTGGTACATTTATTGAAATATTACTCAACTGAATACTTAAATCACTATTTACGAAGATCAGTAATGACGTATAAGAGAAAATTATTTTCCTTTTCATCATAAACTAATGTTAGTTATATAAAGGATAACTGAAAATCACACTGACTTAACCAGTTATTTCTCGAAAAATAAATAGTTCAACTGCACATATTGTAAATAATAATGGATCAGTAGCATTTACATTTTAACAATATCATATGATGGTATGACATTATGATACAATTATTGCAGAAAAAAATTAATGGCGTTATTATGAACACATGATTCAATAGTTCATAGTTAAATGTGTTAACCCGTTGAAAATTTGCAACATTTCGCCTAATAAGTGAAGTTATTAAACTGTTACAGTTAGTGGTTAGTGATCACGACTTTAACCGATTACCCGAGATGTCAATCACACACTGTTCTTTACCAGATGGCGAAAACACTTGAGTATAAAAAATGGCCAGGAATGCAGGCAACATGCCTTAAATTACGTAAAAATTGGCTCAGTATGTGAGTGAAGCAACTAAAAAACACTAGTAATAGTCCAAAAGAGCAATCTCAATCTGCAATACTTTTTACATCAACTAGTTACACTGCAATATTTTAAAAAAGCCACTCATTCTGGTTATCCGACAGATGACAGTTAGCAATGGAATATACGAGGCATGTTTCATCCAGCTCGAGACTTGTCAGCTGCATGTAACCGCTTCCCAATGGTGTTTACACTAAGATTCAAATCAGCGTTTATCGTTTCAAGCACCACCGTGTTATCCATTACGCTACTATACCACAATAGCCATCTCTTGTGAAGCGGTAATCACAAGTTTCAATAAATAATTCCTCAATGCTACTGCGTGACTCCAGCAACTACACCAGTTCTGTTTGCGTACAATTTCATCGCAGAAAGAGCAAGAGGAAATAGACAAATAACACACTATGACCACAACATGAATTGCAGTAACAATGATAAGGTGAAAATTATTTCCTTATGTTACAAATATTATCATAAGAAATAAATAATTGAAAAGGTTTTTCAATGAGTCATGAGATATTCACAGTAATATAAACGATTTTATATATGTATGTATATTAAACGTGGGAGTGAGTTTGAGTAAGTATAATGAAGGGAGGGAGTATAGAATTAACCAGAATACAATTGTCAATGTGAACTGCTGAATATTAACAATTCAAAAAGCTTTTTCATTATTTCCCCAATTTATTGGTTGCTTTATATCATAATGTGGCTTACACAGTCTAGGAGGTAACAAACGCTAACTGGATCATATTAGCTGGCATAAATTTGAACAGACATCATCTGAATAATTAATGAGAATGGATATATATATATATATCCTCGAATTCTTTATCAGATAAAGATGCGACATACAGACTTAACAACATTTATCTTGTCAGTCTAAGGATAATAGATTTCTGTAACTGATAAATAATAGAAGAGTGAAGTGGGCAATGACTGCACGACACATTTATTTGGTAATTAAACATACACATACTCGCACAAAGTAAGATGATCTGGTAAATATATTCCCTGTTTGGATAGATAATTAGAATTGGGGGGGATTTGTGTTGCCTTAGACAAATTACTAAGAGATATGAAGCTTTCTTTAGCGGTTTGAGAAACAGAATCACCAACAAAAACTAAATTTCAAGTGATATTAGAATTTGAAGTCAGAACTAATAGAACGGTGTAGAATGATACTATTCAGAGTATCATTAGAAAAGTATTCAGCCCAAAAGAAGTCAGGGAAAAATCATAAACGGCATGAAATTGTGTTATTAAATTCTCATTCTTGTTAGCCTTTGTTCCTCACCTAGGTGCCGCAATAGTTCACACTATTATTGTTGTTAACGGCACGGTTATAGAGCGTCATTGAAAAGTGGAATGACAAAGATGTTTAAATATGAAACATTGGAAAGTCAGAAAGTGCCATCAAATTAACTGCACTGATTGCCATCAAAATAAGATCTAGACAAACATTGATTGACGGTAGCACTAAAACGTGAAATATATCAGTGATTCAATGGTTCACGGGGTCACTAAGCAAGCTGAAGGTGTCATCGTGGGTGAACACTGCTGAACAGCTGCCATTAGTTTTCATTGATTCTCTAACTGATGTCGGTACGTGACATTGAAATTATAATTTCGTTCATTCCATATGTTTTTTGAAAGGTGGTAAATATGAATGATAAATGAAATGCTTAGGAAATGTAAAATTCGACATAGGTACAATGCAGGTGGTGGTTGAATATATTGCAAATTACTTAACACAAGAACTAAATCTATACTGAACAAAGACACCAGATTTCACATTTGTTGGCACGTATCGATAAGTCTCAACCAGCAGCAACAGAAAAAACGGCACTACCTATCCTTTAGTGACCATTCCGTAAATATTTTATAGCAATTAAGAACACTGATATTTACACCAAAACTGTTGCACATATGTAAACAATAAAAGGATGGATAAACTAATGCATTATTAAAACGAATGAATGGATTAACTCAGTTTAAGGTTACATTAAAATTCCATAGGAATATATCGATATAAACTTTATGGTTATGAAAAAGGCGACACTACATTGACTCCTGACTCAAAGACGAAGAACAGAGTATGTTAACTGCCTCTCTTATTTCAGAGGTTCCAACAACTTAAATCATCTAGTAGCTTACAAAATCTCAGCATGGATACAAAACACAAGTTTAACACTTCCGAACGTATACTCTGGTAGGTAGAAAGTAACTAGTGTCATGCATCTAGTCCTTTGTTTGGTGCAGACTGAATTCTTACTATCTGGGTGACACGGGTTCAAATCTCAAGGGAGACATGATTTCCTTTAAGGTTGCAGACACGCCTTTCTAACGGTTGCCAACAAGCACAAAACCTAGATCCAGGGCTTCCTGCCACTCGCCTGCAACCAATTAATAACAAATACCATGAATACCGTACAACATTTCGCTCAGCAGTACTTCATTCCTATGACATATTCTTATGAAAAGTGGAACGTATGGAAACAGACATGGTTTTGAGCACGTCTTTTTTCCATCGCTCACACGACATGGAAGATAACGGTAAACAATGTTGACATTGGATATACTGTATCATGCATAACCGATCGACAGTGAACTTAGTGTCTCCACCTTTTCTTCCAACTACTTTCAACTAGTTAGTGAAATTCACGTATGCAGTATAATAAAACATTGAAAAAAAAACTGAATTATACTTTTTGAGATGATTCATCGAAGCCTGCTGAATTCATTGGATAGGTAGGTAAATGAGAAAGATTTTGATCAACCATAGTAGAATTACAAGTGGGCAAATTGACAGCACTTGTGCATGTGACAACAGGTGGTGAAGTGGAAGATGATGAACAAGCGGAGGAGGACGAAGAATCAGGAGCTTTAAGAGCAACAGAGAATCCCATTGAAACAAATGCTGATGAATCATTTGCAATAGATACTGTTGTAGAATTAGCATTGTCTGAGGAACAACATTCTGACATTTTAACACTAATACAATCATTAGTAGATCTAAGCGATGTTTGATGATAAACTGGACTTGAAGAAGAACAAGAGTTAACAGTGGATGATATGCAGTTAGAGAAATTCTCATTATTATCATTATTAATTGTATTCCTTTTACAATTTTGAGAATCGGAGTATCCTTGATCATCTTCAGTGCTCATATCTTCAGGTTTCAAGACATACATATTCCCTGAACTAGATTCGGATAATGAATAGAAAATAAACAAAACAAACATTTGATTTACATTAGATCAGGATGATTATATATATGATTATATTATTAACAAAAAATTTATTATCAAAGAAATTATATTTATACAATCATGAGTAGACTTTGATATGCGGCATATCTTACACTTTGAAAAAGAAACCAAAAATTTCAATGGTCACGTAGATTCCTAAGAACCATGTAAAAGGTGATACATAGTTGAACAACAGGAGTGAAAATGTCAATCTGTTCAGACATTAACAGATGCATATATGGATTCTAAGTCATAAAATACAGCTTGGAAACTAAGTACCGAAACTAGAAAGCCCTATTCAGGTAGCTAGTTATCTGGGGTTTTAGTGAGAAGTCGTGACCAGTAGGGTACAGCAGGTCGGGTGTGAGGACAAATACTCGCGGAAGACATTGGCTAGGGGTCGCGCTATGTCGTGAATTGGCAGAAGTTAGAATTCATGGACTGGCCATTGGAGCAGGTCCCAGTGGCTTAATGGTCTACGAGCTCGCTAGCCTTGTAACCAAGAAGGTCCTGGGTTCGAACCCCGGTGGGTGAGTACTGATGAAGAGTCCCAAACTAGGACGAAACAGCTGTCCAGTACTTCTAGGTTTTCCAGTGGTTCTCTAACTGATGTCAGTGCATGATGAAATCCTGTAATTCCATGTAAGAATTAGTGATAGTACACTACTGCTAAGCCATTATAATTGCAGAACTTATCAAATCATGGGTAACTAACTGTTTGATAGCCAACTATCACCACTGAGACGAGTGTTACGTATGAATATTATACACGTACGCGCTTCTAACGATTTATATCGGTTGGATGACTACTGAGGAGGCGTTTACTATTTTTTTGGAGGAAGTATTAAGTTTGCCACAGAATTTCACCACTCGAAACTACTTGAATTTCCATGCAATTGATAATGTATCACACCCTTTTTATGATGGTTAATGATTCTACCTACCTGTCCAAATGTCAATAGGTTGTGTGGGTTTCAAAACGTGGATTCAGGAGTCCCTAATAACAGAAAGACTAAACCACAATGAACCACGGATCCATCCGTAGAATGCGATATACTTAGGCTAGTAATAGCAAGAAGTGAACAAATTTGTAAGAATCGCCTTCATTACTGACATTATTACCTGAAGTGTTTGATATAGATGATAGTATTTAAACAAAATTCGATCAAATCACACATACACTTCAACAAATTATTATACTCCCTATTTCTACCTTGGTATTACTGATATTTTGTTTTGTTTAATCAATCCGTATATCCGTCTCTTATCATCATTTGTATTGGTATTATTAGTTTCATTTTGAACAATTTCCGGTATTATTTATTTAATACAATTATTTGCTGTGTTGTCGAATTTCTTAGCTTGTTAAATAATGTTCTATCGGCCTACTAGTATTATCCAAGATTTACACATCCCATGAATTAGTTGATACATGGGACGTAACCTATTTTATTACTTTATATTTAACTGCAGTTATAATTACAAATATTTTGTCGCAATTCACGCTATTACTTTAAAGAATATCATAGATATGTATTGTACACAAAGGTAGAGAAAAATTCAAACGAACTATGATAAACAGAAATGCATAGGAGGAAAGATATTTACATGCAGAATAATGAATATTAGTGGATTTAGGAGTAACTGCATCTTCAACAGTAAGAACAATTTTGAACTATATACACCAACAGTCTCAAGGCGTTGATTCTGGACGTCACTCTAGGACCCCGACCAGCCAGTCTACATCAGCATACTTGATTGGCCCAAAAAACAGTCAGACACTTCATGGACTGAAGCCAAGTTTCGATTTGAGCACCCCTAACTCTTTTCCAGAGTAATCCTATGTCGGCTAACACTACTCAACAGGGAAGGCGATGGTTATGCATGAGTGGCATAGCCAATTCAATTGATGCAGCTTCACAACTACATCTTACATGAAACTCTACGTCCAACTTCTATGACTGACCATAAAAACGGCAGTAACAACTAGTAGTTGTGTTTCCGGAGCAAAATGAGTAAAAGGGTAATTCTATATACAACTAAATTTTATCGATTTTAACTATTATGCATATCTTTTTATTGTTATAACACATGAATACACACATATGGGTATAGCTCTTTTCGTGGAGACAGAGTATGTATATCCCAAATAGAATATAACCGTTAAACGGGGTAAGTGAACTGGTTTGTTGGATAAACATGAGTTTATTTACTAAGGTGAGACTCTTGAAGATGGAAAAAAATTTCAACAAATTTCAGCATCAGTTAAATGAGTTAAAGTCAAAGCTAACAAAGTGACGACCAGAGAATGAACAGCATGCTAGTGCACGAATGCAAACATGCAAACAATACACACTCGGCCTACATCAGAAAGAAGATGACAAAAAAGAGAGCGTACGGATGATAGCATTCACAAAATTGGTAACGTATGAAAGCGACAAAAAGAGGTGTTGTTCCCCAGAGAAGTGCACAATAGAAGTATAATTGAGAAATTCGAATTCCAAGAAATGGGTACAAAAGAAGTCATAGTTTTTGGGGATCAGACCACTTTAAATAACAACGCTTTTATTCAGTGAACTACTGTAAAGAAGAAATACTATCTTAAACAAACTCCTTTCGTCCAGCAGTTTCAGTTTAATTTCTTCAGATGTTGATTGATATTATTGGTAAGAATCTCTCAGATGTCAAAACCAAATACTAATTATTATTTCATTTGAAATCGTCCACATCTTTTGTTGACAGAAAGCGAATATATTATACACAAAAATGACATGTCAGTGCATCTGAATGTGTGTGAAGGTCAAACCGGGGAAAAGAAAGAACAATAATAAATATTGGTCCAAAAAAAGAAGGAAAGAAAGGTAGACAGAGACAAATATGATTTAAATTTTTCGGATTTTAAAAGTTTCCACAAGAATTTATTCAGAAAAAAAAAAACAACACGTAAATGATATTTACTCAAGGGATATGTGGGAAGAAACACAGGTTACATATAATTCCCTACCTAGAATTTCATATGCAAAATAGTCATATTTGTTTATTTATTTATGACCATGCGTACTTATCCGTCTCTTTTTGTTTTTATTAAACATAAATTTTATAAAATCGATAAAATAAACACGAGGGAGAAGAATTTAAACCATAAAACAGCAACAAAATAAAACTCACTAGGAATAAAATTTTCCATAGCAGAAGGATAAGTTAAATAAACTGAATAAAAATAAAAGTGAATGAGTGAAAAGAAATCGATTTAGGTGTTACCTCGAAGTAAAACCGCCCACAAACATACTTACACACATACGTACATACATGCAGACATGCGATTGGAGGTCAAACGGAGAAGTTATGGTCCTTCACTTGACTTTGTAATGTTCAATAGTGTTATCTTTCTTTGAAACTAGTTTGAAACTTTTCAGCAGTATGCACTTATGATCCCATCGGGGGTTGAATCCTGAACCTTCAGGTTACAAGGCGAGCTCGTTGACCATTCAGTCACTGGAACAGAATCCAATGGTTCATTAATTCTAATTTCTGTCAATTCACGATTTTAGTGCGACTACCCGCCAATATCCTCGATGAGTATGTGTCTTCATATCTGATCCGGTGGACTCCACTGCCCACGACTCCTCACTAGAACTCCAGGCAACTTCGTCCTGTAGTAAGTCACCAGTGAGCATCAGAATAATTTCCAAGAGTTTGTTTGTAGGGATTTGACTTGTTCCAAGTTTGATCACGGATTGATATCTTCTATGCTGTTGAAGTGCACACAGACCAATAATACTCGAACAAAATAAGTATAACTAAACTGAAAACACCATCATCGTCATCAAGAGACAAACAACATTTGCCACCTAACCGTAGTTATACAAACCAACCTATATATATATGTATATATATAGCCAGTTAGACTGAGTTTTCAACGTAAGAGCTTTATACAAGACAATAGCACTTTAAGTTTCCACACACACCTCACAAAAGCACATTGTGTGTGTGTGTGTCTGTAGGAGACAGTGAGAGAGCGAGAAAGAACCCGATAAACTATTTAGATTTGCTGAATCACGATACTGATAAATAAATGACAAAAGTGTAGTTATAGTATTATGCAGGACGAGAAGTGTATGCATACAAGTGCGCACATACACTCCACAAAATGCCAACGATTACTTTTACGAAACAAATGTGTTGTTGTTTGTCTGGAAGCAATAAATAAACACTGTACAATCTAAAAAAAATTTATCCTGATGATATCATACACGCTTATGCATACAAGCACTACAGTCAATTAAAGCAGAGAAATCAAGTATACCATTCATTATGCAGACAAAAACTGCCACAGAAAAAATAATCAACTTAGAGGTCAAGTTAAAAAGAGAGGAAAAAGAAAGGGAGAATGATGCCAACAATTAGGTTGAAAAACAAGTCTAATAATCATAAAAGGAGGAAAATGATTGGTGAAAATACAGGATTTCATGTAAACAAGTAAACCAATATAATCAAGGTTATTAATAAGAAGTTACATTTTTTCGGTTATACTCTATAGAAAAATTTGATGATTAATGGGAAAAGCATTCGTTCACTTATTATACAATATAACAATCAAAATAGTAATCATATTAATCAATGTGTATTAGTGCTGTGAACACAGTCATCCCCTCTGCAAGTGAACACAAGAAAGTAGCCAGGCATTTTATAGGTTTATGAAGATTTGAATAATATTAGGATGAAGTTCACCATCATACAGAGTGATACACTGATTGAGCACGTATACGACTAGACACAAGGCCTTGAAAACTTACTGGTTTGAGAGTTACTATGATTCATTGTGGAAGGGATTTTCGTGTAGTCCGCAAAATATCCCAATCGTTAGGCGGAGTTTCTAGTTCTCAGTAAAATGTTTTTCTAACAGTGTAGACAAATAGAATTTCACTCATACTACAAACATGTATAAAATAT